AATAAACTTGCCTTGCCTTGCCTTGCCTTGCCTATGCCGGCAAATCTATGCCAAAAAGAACCGAGTGCACCAGTTATGTTTACGCGCACTGTAAATTGCTTCCGCGAGAGGATAACAGATCCATGCGTGAGGAAACGGGGGCCTGCGAGCTCTTTTTAAACACTTGCGCGCGCATCACCTGTGTGCGCAATACAAGCCCTCGCAAGTGAGGATATGTCTCCTCTCACGTGCGTGATCATCCCCCTCATTCTCATGCTCCGTATTTTTTCACATGCTTGCTTTTGCTCGCGAGAACACTTTTATTTTTGGCAGTCATAGGGCGGGACTTGCTGTTTTAATTGTAATCTCAAACGCCATTGGTTACTTCCCCTTTTCCGGAAGTCAGCTGTGATTGGATGCCTGAGAAAAGGCGATCCATAATTCACATGTGAACTGAGACATGGCTTTATCAACGGACCAGATACGGAGTGCGAGAATGAGGGGGATGATCACACGTGTGCGATGAGACATATCCTTGCTCGCGAAGGCTTGTAGAAGAAAGTCTTTTAAAAGAAAACGTTTCCCCGCCAAAGACAAGTTTTTACGGCTTTTCGTGTTTTCACTATTATACACTCGGGGGCGCTATTACGCATCTTCTGAACGAGTACAAAACCACACGTGAACAGGACTAGTGGTCGACCGATTTTGGTTTTTTGACAGCCGATGCCGATATATTGGAACGCAGGGTGGCCGATGGCCGATATAAAACCGATATAATTGTATTTATTTTAATTAATATTTAAGAAATTTTAAATCATTTGAAAATGGATTAAAAAATAAATTTGTAAAATAAACATACTTATACTTTATATGACAAAGTATTTTCCACAAATAAATAAATATTTAATCAAAATATAATTAAAAAGGTTTAAATGATATAAATGCGTATTTGCTGAATGCTGACGGCAAACAAGAAAGTATTATAATGTTTGCCTTTCTGTTACTAATAATATATAAGCAATCGTTATAATACTTTTTGTATACATTTTAATTCCTTTGTTTAACAGTTCTATCGGATTATTAGACAACTTTTTGTAGTTTGACAGCCATTGTATGGAGCTGTGTAAAATTATTCAAAACTCCCCTTTGGTTTTCCATGTCAAAAATAGCTGCAAATGAGTTTGGAATAACATTAGGAGTAATTATTGGCAGAATTTTCTTGGATTTCAGTTCAATATATTTTAAGGAGTGTTTATCTTGAGTGCACAGTTGCAATGTTTACATTTGCATCTCTAATGGAAATTACGATTAATACAAATTGTATGCAGGGCATATTTACATCCAGAGATGTGCCACTGGGTCTGTGTCAAGCATGTAGCTTAGCGATAAGTCTAATCGCTGCAGATCACATTGTGGGAGTTCTGAGCGAGCCGTGGTTATTCTGAAAATAGGAAAATGTAATTGTGAATGCTCAGGAGGAACTTGGACAGCAAGCAAACATCCTTTGGTCACTGTAGGATGTTTACAAGCTTCAACTGCATTCAAAACAATAGTGCCGATAAGCAGAAAGAAAGATTCCTTACAAATCTATATACAAGTACACAGTCCTGTGCCACTATAGGTTTTTTTTTTATTTTTCGTATAAATATAAGACATCGCACGTGATCAATAAATGTATGATACCTGGTCTGCTGCATTAAGTACCACACATGCCAAAGTCTTATATTACCCTATGAGGTATATAGGGAGATTGCCTGACTAACAAAGTGACCTTTTTTGTCTATCGATTGCAACTATAATAAGGTTACACACAAGCGAAATAGTCTGGAATGCTCAGCCATTTATCAGATTGCATGTTTGCAGGAAAGAGTGTCATTTTCGCTTATGAATAATGGCCCCAACAAGTTGTATTAAAAGAAGCATTATTGGATTTCCGTTTGTTGGCTAAGTAAGGATTGAGACTGGATTGAGGTTGGATTGAGACTGCTCATTACTCAGAGGAGTGCGTGCACTTTGCCTCGATTATTTCCTGCTCATTCTGAATTGTTCTCCACTTGATGTGGCACATGAACGATTTAACTTCTGCAGTGACAACAATACAAATGTATTGTGATCAGAGCAAAAGTTCAAGAATTTCAACATGTTCACCACAGTACTGGTATGTATGGAGCCTCTCATGACATACAGGGGAAAATATTGTGGATACAAGTAAAGAATTAATTCTGATGACTTAATATGTGCTCACATATTAATAATTTGTTCCCTCATTTTTGTTAAATCATGCCCAAGTTTAAATCATTTGTTCCCTCATTTGAGGTAAATAGAGTACTACAAAAAGGTGTTGCTTTATAAATTTAAAGTTCCTTATGAGCATAAAACAAGGGGATGTGGACTCAAGAGATGGGAGCAAGTACGATAATTATAACCGTAACATTTTTAAAATCACATGAAAGCAAAACCAAAATCCATCCAAGTTTAAAAGTATGCAAAGCAGTTATCTTAATAAAACATAACACCAATGCATACTTAGAATAAAAAGAACAGAATGATAATATAGTTTTCGTTGTAGTTTACCTAAAACTAGTGAACAAATTAGTAAAACGTGGCCAAGATTACCTTAAAATTAGGAAACAAATGAATAAAGCAGGCACATGTGTGAAGTCTTGGGAAAGAATTCTTCAAATTCTCTCAAATGCAAATCAGTTTGCAGGCAGATTTATTCACACACATGCATAACAATCAAGAGGACTATAAAGCTATAAAGACTATACAACAAAACAAGCGTTTCCTAGCAATGACAACTGCACTAAACACTAATGAGACAAGTAAATACCAGTGGCGGCTTGTGGGTTTTAAAATAGAGGAGGCACACTAATTGTATTGGTCTGGGATCCCTGCCGATTATTATTATTATTATTTGCTTAACCACTTTAAAATGGCTTTTTGATTGCTTTTAGTCAGAAAACGTAAAGAAAACGACATGCATACAGCAAGATAATATAATTTCACTTACCTGGCCTATCACTTGAAGCAAACATCCATCCCTTCTTAAAAGTCTGTGTTAAAAGAGAGCTGCCTGTTGTGACATTTAATTAAGCCGCGACTGCTGTAGCCTATACCCAGTTAGGCGTGTTTTCCCTTTTTTTAAAAAAATTTGTATATATACTGTATACAGTATATATGGCAACATAGGGACCAATTCTCACTATTAACTAGTTGGTTATTAGCATGCCTATTACTGTAGCCTATATCCAGTTAGGCGTGTTTTCCCTTTTTTTTTAAAAATTTGTATATATACTGTATACAGTATATATGGTAACATAGGGACCAATTCTCACTATTAACTAGTTGGTTATTAGCATGCCTATTACTATCATATTGGCTGTTTATTAGTACTTATAAAGCACATATTCTGCATGACTATATTCTACATCCATAATCCTATCCTTAACAACTACCTTACTAACTATAATAAGCAGGAGTTTGTTGAGGCAAAAGCCATAGTTAATGGTTTGTTAATAGTGAGAATTGTACCTTAAAATAAAGTGTGTGTATATATATTTTACAGATTTTTACCATTTATTTTACAGATTTATTTTTTATTAGTATTAAGTTCTTAAGTAGTATTAAATTAATTTTTTCCCATATTTATTCATTTTTATTTTTATATGAATTGCTTCTAATTTAGTAAATATTACATTAAACGAAATAGTATGTAATAATTTAATATTATTAAATGAAATAGTGTGATATATATTGACCACCCTGCTCTAGGCATCATCAGCCATCAAAAACTCAATATCAGTTTACCACTAGTAGATTGTACAGTACATATAGTGTCTGTTATTGTATTCAAAAAATGTAAACTATTTTTTATGTCAACACAACATCTTAAAAACAGCTATGGTGTGAAACAGAGACTATTATAAAAAAGCACAAACTGAACTTGCTCCATCTCGCCTCATCTCCTGAGTACTGAGATGATTTATCTGTGTCAAATTCAAGCAGTTAAAATGACCATAACACGTATCCAGTTTCCTCCCATGTGCTTGTACTCAAAGGCTCTAGCCTGCATGTTTATTCCCTCAAATGGAAAAGTAAACACCATTATTTCAGCTGCAGCCAATGACGACGCTACAAGCATTAGTCCTTGGGATCAGCCAGTGCTGTTTCATGATATGCTGCATTGTGGGTAACATTACGACTGGCTTTCACCATCTGTTTCTAATTTGCAATACCCCCCTTTGCTTTCCCTACACTCCTGCAAGAGTGTGACCCAATATGAGTAGCATAAGTCCAAACAGACCTGAAGACATGCCATAACTTCCAAGTCAGCAATCAAGGGACATTATTTAGTAATATCTGGGAACGTTTCTTCACATCAGCTACTCTTTTTTTTACACAACATTTTCTATTGCGTATGAGGGTCCGTCATTGACTAAACCGTTTTTCACCACTAGGATTTAAAGAACTGCACAATCTAGGTTAAAGTGTGTGCTTGACCTGGCTAGAATCACAAACTGTGAAAAATAACCGTTCTAGAGCTGAGGAGTGAATATTCAAGCTGTATTTACAATGGTTTTGCTGGTAATATAATTAAGCAAAACTATGAATATTGCAATGATTTTATTTGTCCATTAAGTTGAAGATTTGTCATGAGACTAATTCGCCCCATTAGACACATGCAGGGCATATGATGTGAATCAGTTCAAACAGTCTATTTAAGTGAACTGATTCAAAACGTATGATTTTATGATTCATTTGCATTAACACACAGTTATATTGTTTCAGCCTATCTTGATAAGTGCTATAAGAACTGAAGTAACCATCAGAGAGAAGAACTTCAAATATTATGAATTTGTATTCTGTGCATGTGTGTCTGTATGTTTATGCATGGCGGGTGTGGGTCTATGTTTGCAATAGGCTAGAAAAGAAGACAGGTAGCCTACTTCTGTTTGTGTCAATAACGGCATAAGAGCCCTTAGAACTGTGCACAGTGTTTTATTGACATTACCTTCCTTGCAGATCGATAGTGAGTCGTTGGAAATGCCAAAGAAGATGACAGCTAGCTGCTGGATGATCTGTCTGTTTCTGCTGGGATCTGTCACAGAGGTGAAAGATTTTTTGCTGCATCATTTTTATAAACATGTATAAGATTTCTAGTTTTAAAATATGAAATATTGTGCTGCAGTGATAATGTGCTGCAGTGATAACGTATTTTTGTAGGTCAACCCAGAAATTAACACCACCCTGGTTCCATCTACAAAAACCCAATAGGATTTTTTCATTGGCTTTCGGATTATTGCAGTTAATAAGCTCTGTGACCAATAAAAGTTCATAATGCTTATGCATTTTGTTCATCATGATAATCTTCACAAATTAATGTCACCATCACTAAGCTTCTGACAACTCTTTAATTCTTTATTTAAAAAACGTTTTTTCCTGAAGGTTTGAGTTGCAAGAATGTGATTATGAGGCTGTAAAAGCGAACTAGTGGGTAAATGAGTTTACCTGTTTGGAGCAGGGTTATTATAGTTTACTAAAATTAAAAGTGAAAGTAAAATTTAAAACCATAATATACATTTTAGTTACTTAAAATAAACGTTAACTGAAATATTACTTTTTTTTGCTAGCTGCAAAGGCAACACTTTTTTTTTGTTTAAATATATATACTAAAAGAACTAAAATAAAAATGAAAAACTATAAAGACATATAAAAAAAACAAAAACTACTAATAATGACAAAACACACAAAAAATACTATATATATATATGGAATATATGGGGGTTTCTGCAACTACATGTGTTTTATTTACCAAAGTGACTATATGGAAACTTTTACAATGTTTTTTTTAATCCCTTGTCCCATATACAGTTGTGCACATAAGTTTACATACCCCTTGCAGAAAATGCAAAATGTTCATAATTTTAACAAAATAAGAGGTATCATGAAAATCGCATGTTATTTTTTATTTAGTACTGACTTGAATAAGCTATTCCACATAACAGATGTTTATATATGCTTCACAAGACAAAATAATAACTGAATTTGTAAAAATGACCCCGTTCAAAAGTTTACATACCCTTAAATCTTAATACTGTGTGTCATTTCCTGGATGATCCATTACTGTTTTTATGTTTTGTGATAGTTGTTCATGAGTCCCTTGTTTGTCCTGAACAGTTAAACTGCCCGCTGTTCTTCTGAAAAATCCTCCAGCTCCTGCACATTCTTTGGTTTTCCAGCATCTTCTGCATAT